CAAAATTAAAACCGGCAATTTGAAATTTATATGGTGTTTTTGGTTAGTGAGACGCTTTACAAATACGCGATATTCTGTTTCTTTTAATCTCTGCTTTTTAAGTTTTTTATAGTGCAAGCTTTTGAAATAGCTTGTATAGAAATGTAAAAATTTTACACAAAGTTTAAATACGTGAATTAAAAAAAACGTATTTATCATAGAAATAAATCTAGGTTACGTTAAGAAAATTATTTTTCAAAAGAACATTATTTATCTGAAAATGTATATATTATATTTTTTCCAATATTACAAAAAATACTAAATTATTGGTGGCAAAAATATTTTTAAAATTTCCATCATTTAAAAAAATCGGACAATTACCCAATACTACTCTGGAACTGACAGAAAAAGGGCATTACCTAACGGAAAACACGCACTACTTATTCCGCAAAACATCGTCTAGTATTCACCATTCACCAGTAGTGTCGTCAGAGTATAATCGAGATCTACAAAATAAAAATTAATTAAAAAAGGAAATGACAATTTCCCGCACCGTAACCTTTGATGCTACTGCATAGCGCTTTGCGCAGTTCGGTTTTCAGTGTAGCTGTATTACCGGTTTAAATCTCCCGATATTTCGGGAGCACGACAAAAACTTAATCGAAAGTGACAAGAATAATCGAACATCGGACATGTATATTAAAAAATTCGAGAGGAAGAAGCTAATGAGATATACCAGGATCGTAGCAGATGAATACCTACGTTCTCTGTCCCGTGGGAACAGGAGTGATGGCATATAAAAACAAAATGCCAGTGTACGTTATTTTTTTGGAACATGTTTTTTTACTTGCAACAAATACTATTAATGACACTTGACCATAAAAATTTTAACTACTGAAGTTATAAATATTAACATAACATGTATGTATTATGAGAAAATTATAAAAACAACGTATTTGATTAGCTTGGTTTGGCAAGTAAACACACATTCTATTGAATGTCAAATACAGTAATTGGGATTTTTTAATCAAATGACCTGTTTGATTGTATATTTTATTTTGTAAATATAGAGTGGAATAAAAGAAATATTTGTTGAAGACAGACGATAACAATTTTACTCAGAAAGGGTGGCGTCATTATTGTTATAAAGTAACAATGATACGAGAGGGAGCTCTCTAAAGTTGTCTCTAAAGAAATAGCGACCCTCTTATCACTAACGCTCATATCTGGCATTTTTGTCGTAACTCTGCTTTAAAAAGCACTAACCATTATGTGTCTACCATTTTTAACCGCCTTCAAAAAAGGAGGAGGTTCTCAATTCGACTGTATGTTTTTTTGTTTTTTTTTGTATGTATGTACTCCGGTATTTGTGCACCGATTTTCATGATTCTTTTTTTGTTGGAAAGGGGGTACTTCCATAGTGGTCCCATTTCATTTTGAAGGAAATCATCTACCTCTAAGGGTGGCTGTTCACGCATGAAGGTTCATTTTTATAAATAGCGCCTACATTTTCTTAAGGAGCAATTATTTTAATGGTTATTTTGCTATTTCTCCAATTCAAAGCGTTTTTCTCTCAATATTCTTTGAGTAGTGAGAACTGATTTTTTTATTATCTCCAGGGTCAAGTCCTGTATAGTGGCGAATTTAAGGATATTTCAATAAAACTTAGCAAATAGACGAAATGCCACGTACTTTTGAGGTCGGTTTTTCTAGTACTCTGTACTGAGATTATTATGTAATATGAATGTATTGCCCATGGATTTTGACACGAGCTACAGCAACATCTGTGAAGTGCTGAACCGAAAATACGCCGTCACTCTGAAAGATTGGCTGGTTACTACAGCCAGTCACATTTTATCTCACTTTCCCTTTTCCTCCATAGAAGCTCGCGAGCTGGCCTCCGTAGTCATCGTTTTACAATTCGAACTAAAAAGTGTGATGGCACCTTTCTTTATCACATAGTCGGCAACTGGAAGTCTCTTCGAGCACACGTATTTCCTCCCTCTTATCCGCTCACGCGATACATGCAGCCGTAGACGCATAACACACCTAGAGGTGCCGATGATGATTTTATACCGATTTATCGGATATCGAAGTTATAACAGGTAAGAGAACTAATATTAATTGCTATTTCGGTAACTACTCTAGCAAACCATACAGTTTTTAATACCTGGGTCTGTCATTTAAAAAAAATAAACAACTTCAAAAATACGTCAGGACAACCGTGTGTGTTATTGTTTTGGCTGGTGATTTCGGTGTTTATTTATTGAAAACATACCGTAAGTAGCGTTTTTTAAGTTTACCCTGAATATAAATGTTTATAAACTATACTTTAAGGAGTAATTTCATGGTAAACGTTAGAACCACTCAAACGGAATATTATCATATTTATCCAAGTACACCAAAAATTTCATTAGTGCTTTTAAAGTGCAGGATTTGCGGTGTATTACTGCATTTTCTTTGAGATGTTTTTGTTGGTAGTACGGAGGGTATTTATTTAGCAAAGCAGAATAATAATTTTTATTTATAAAAACTTGTATTTAAACTGAATGTTTTTCTAAAATGCTAAACCAAATAGCCGCCATTTTGCGGTAGGAGGAGCGCATCGCGTGAACGGTTATGATATGGGGGTCCCTTAAACAAGGCGTGAAGAAGCACCTTGTAGATGTGCATGGTGGAGTTTGACAAGGACGGTGATTATACCAAACTTGTATTAGGTTCTTTCACACTTGGATTCATTCCACTTGCCATTTAACATCAGGTGGAGTCGATTGAAATCTTTCACGTATAAAAAGAGGGAAGGGACGATTGTCCTATCAGTCTTTTATTCATGACACAAGAACAAAAAATATTGTACGTAATATCTAAATAACTTTAATGTATTGATATAGAACATTAACAAACGATTATTTTGTTGGGGAACTAACAAAGGAGCTAACTTAATTAAATAAATTTGCATAATACTTTGGATCAAAAACAAAGCCAAAAGCAAGACCTACTGAAGAAATCATAAAAACTTACATTTAGTGCAAAAAACTATAACATTTTGAATTTGGGTAATTTTTACGGTATTTTAGTCGGAACTCCTGGCAACCCTGTTAGTATAAATTTGAGAGCGCGGTGGCTCACTTTGCTGTCCCTGCAGAAACATGGGAATCGACCATAAATCGTGAATATTTAAGAAAAAAACGACTGAAAACACAAATTATGTTCTATTCTTATTTATAACAGTAGTTGTGTACGGACAAAAGCTGTTTGGTGTATTTATTTTATTAAATTTTTTATGAATTTTGCGATGAAGATCGCCGGTAAGTATTTTTTTATTTTTTATTAAATTTTTACACTACACAGTGCATTACAAAAAGCTTTTTGTAATTATCTCACATAAAAAATACCCAAATTCCATTTTTGAAAGAAAGCGCGCGATGTATATGCCAGTAAAAATACTTAATTATTTTCTATTGTATGACGAAAATATCTACTAAAACATTAAGACTAAATTAACAAGCGATAAAAAATAAGCGTCAAATAAAAGGTTTTAAGGTCAAAATACGCTAAAACACGCGACAATGTGGTTTTAGTGTAAAATCAATAAATGTGGTGCGTCGGGGAACAACTTTCGATTTCACGCAAAACATGGGGCGTTTGTAGACGAGGGGTGAGGTAACGGGGTACGGGGCGCTTGATTTACAAGATAAACGTCAAATAGTTCCTAATTTCGCCGTTTTTGAACGTAACTTTGCAAGAATTTATCAAGATTTGGCCTTTATTCTATCCGACCTTGTTAAAAAAAGGAGAATTTCCATATAACACAAGAACAGGCTGTCTGTGTTAACCATTGTCCCAAAATTATAAATTTATAAGTTAAATGGCGGAATTTATATTTATTTCTAATTTAGATTAAATAAAATTTAAATTTTTTGTATATATTAATACATAGTTAATTAGTTTGTTAAAAGTTAAAATTATAAAAAATGCTTTATGTAACATATGTTTACGTAAGCATTAAGTTGCAAACTGACATTGTCTGAAACGGGTTAGGTGTTAGGTATATGCTACAGTATTATATAAAAATTATCAAGATATGACTATTATTTTGTACCTTCATGAGAAGAAGAACAAGCGAATAAGCGGAATTTAATAACAACACAAGAATAGGCTGCCAGTGCCTGCACCATTGCCCCAAAAAAAACTGTAAATACCAAATGGGGTGATTTTCATGGACTTTTTTAAATTTATTTTTCGGTTTTGATCATTAATTTATAATTTATTTGATATGTAAAATTAAAGAAAAACATGCTTTACGTAACGAAGTTTACATAAGCTTGACAAGTCGAAAAACTATCATTATTATAGTGGTCCACAGTCACCCTTTACAATGAGTATAGCCCAGAAATGGAATTCCATCTGTTTCCGAGCACATACAACCCGAATATATTGGTATAGGCATCTTCTGGGCGAGGTCTTTCCATCGTAGGCCCCTAATTTCTGATGGCCTCCGTGGTCGAGTGCCTTGCACACCGGTTTACATGGTGTCGCCATCCGTGAGGGTCGAGGACTTCCTCTTATCTGTCTGTCATTTCCATCATCACGTTAATATTTTACTTTCTTTGGAATTACATCTATGTGTAATGTGACAGTCCCGCTGTCCCCAAAATACTTAAAAGTGTCCCGCTTTCATAAATCAGAACACACTTTACATTAAATTTAGAAAATGGCGCGAAAGCGAAAAGTATGTAATAGCAGTTAACCAGACATCGAGTACCAGACAAAGGCAAGGTTGTTTTTTTCTAGGAAATAAAACTATTTTTCCGGATTTAAATCGCGTATAAGTTTTTTTTTTTTCAAACAAATCAACGTTTCGGGCCCTTTACAGGTCCCATGGTCACGGTTGTCTGAAAACCACCACATTTAAGACATACATACCACACAACCATCGAATAAAATTAGTACAGATTGCGCTGTCATTTGTATTGGACATTTAAAATGTATCGATAAATTGTATCGTCGTTTCAGAGTGGAGGGCAGCGAGGAGCTGAAGTTTCGACAGCCGGCGAGGGAAAGAGACGAAAAATGCGCTGGATATTCCCCGTGCCAGGTACTTCCACATAAAAGCTATAAAAATGTGTCACCCGACGGCGAAAGGTACCACGATACTCGAGTCATCTTTACCAGCATAAGTCTTATAAACTACAAGACGTAGCATCAACACAGATTGTGCTCCTTGTGAAGTAGTTCTTCCAGGGAAGTACTCTCATACCCATTTCTGCCGTAATCTGAGCATTACTGCGTTTCGGTTTTGAAGGGCAAGGGTGCTGATGAGACTGCAGTCACAAGGGGCTTCTCCACTGTATGTCTTAGGGTGATAGGCGCTATGGTAGCGCCTCTCAGATCTCTGACTTAAAGTTTTGAGTGGCACTGGAGACTGGCACACGACTTGTTCGTGCCCGTCTAAAAAAAACTCATCTAAGGGCTACTAACTTAAAAGTTGGGTGCCCGCGGCAAGGTGCCCAAGAAGCTGGAGCCATTCCTATGGTTTCTTTTTAATGAAAAATAGATTTTAGTGCATGGTTTGCTTGTTCTCATCCGATGTTAAGCTATGATGAAACCAACGATGGTATGTTATTGGTCTTCCAGTCAAACCATCTCTTTTGATATCAATGCATAGAAAGAAAGGCACGGTTATCAAGATGCCGAAGAGAGATGGAGAATGTTTGTATGGCCTACATTTATTTCTCTCGTGAGTTTGGGTGTAATTTGTGGTTGTCTATGTGTGTGTCCATGGCACCCGCGATACAGGGCTATAAAAAAATATGATACTGGTACATTACAGATCCTAAAGGTTTTAACGCCAAAGAGACTACATAAACAATTAGAACTGATGTCCTGGTACTTTTTAATCTGGTGGCTTTTGAAACCCTCCGCTAGCTTGGGTGCAGAGCTTCCTAAGTTGGGCTAGTTGGCTGCCAACCTTTGGGTCTCTTAACTAACTGCGTTCCGATGGAGCAATTCTAAAAGATAACGACTTGGAGTGTAATTTGTTTATCTTTTGTAAGAAAACAGTTGAGCTACAAATTAAAAATTATGTAATGCGGAGACCATTAGATTTTTTATTCAACGTAAATGTGGTCACTGAAAAGCTATAAACATGTCTCATGTCAGCGATATAACTGGATTATTAGTGCATCGATAACGAGTATTTATGCCATGAGGTTATCGTAGTAGTTAAAAACAGGGCCCCAAGTGTAACAATATAACGTATTTTAGCGTGAAGTTTGGCTATCGAGTATATAACCAGATCCCTGGCACTTTTAAATGTCAACTCTCGTTTGCGCTGAAATCACAAATTAGAAAGCTGGAATAATACAGCGCCAACAACTGACCTGTATATAAGTCTCCGGATATTCCAAAAATATTCTGTATTTATTGTAATAAAGATAATATCTCTAACTATAGGGGGCTGTTCCATTCAGTGGTGTGGAAAAAACAGCAAATCATTTAATTACAAAACGGAATCACGTTTCATCGGTAATTAAATATGTAATTTTGCAATTTTCGTCCATTATAGCAAAGCTCAAGTTAAATTGGTCGATTTAAAGTGAAACAATTGACGACACCCGTCAATTGTTTCGAATTCTGTCTATCCAATCGGAGCGCAATTATCATCGTAATGATTTGGTAGAATAGTTTTCAAACAACCTACACATTTCGTCTCTATTTCTGGTTACATATCCGATGCTAAGAGAAAAGCTAATGACAGGTTTCCTTAGTTTATACATCATAAACAATATGTTATCGGTAAGTAGGTAGGTACCTACATTTAACATTAGTGATGTAATGAGTGAACAAGATAATAGTTTTAGATGTCGAAATCTCAAACGTAAATTTTCGCTTGTTGTTTAATGATAAAATAATAATCAGTTATATTTTAGGTAAGTAAATTGCCTATTCCGATAACTGCTCATTCGTGATTGAATAAATTAACACTCCATTAAGACTTAACTCCATTGGAAGTAGATTTTAGGAGAATAAAAAACTATTAAAAAAGAAATTATCATAATAACAAATATGTACAAATAAATGGATAATTAAATATTTTAAAAATTGAAAAGATGATGACCATTACGCCCTCATCTTACTTAGCATCTCCAGCAAATTCATATTTTGTCGTTATACTGCGAAAACCAATTATCTGAAATTTTCACAGAAAATGACTTAACGCGACAAAATTGTTTACGTAAAATGCAAACATTTTCAAATTTCGGTAAAACATAAAATTTGAAATCGCCTGTTACAAATTAACGTGGGATGACCACGTAATGCATGAGAAATATTCGTCGTTAAAAATTCAATTGCATTTATTTCAAATTCGATATTATGTGAAATAATTGTTTTTCCCAATATAACTGCGATTTGTAATTATCCTACATCAATTAAAACTACACTTTTGATGATAGTTCTGAACCCATAAAAGGAGGAGTTTATTTTAAATGAAAAAAAAATGTGTAATTCTCTTGCATTTCCTGTTCCATGGCGACGAAAGGTGACAGATTACAGTGTTTCTAGATGTGTGAGTTGCAATATAACTATTGTTAAAGAAAAATTTAGTATTTTTATTATTAAATTCATAAAAATCCGCTGCTTTAAAAATTGAGAAGTATATTCAAAATCGCGGTCTTATGTGCTTTAAAATGAGCCATATATAGCTTACGGACTCGCCAGTTTAAGGTTAGGGCATGCCACCTTATGACAGCGGCCATCGTCCTTTTCTGTCTTTCCTTGCTTTTCTTCTTATTTAAGAGCCTTCACCAACTTAACTTAAATAATCACCAACTAGGTCAGCTCAGTGCCCTAATTTTGAGTTCCTGATACGACATGATTAACTTTTCCCTTATCGGATCTGAACTTAAAGGATTTAAAAAAGTATAACTTTGTCTCGGCCTTCTGCCTCTCTTTTCTTTAATCTTTCGAATAGTCACAGTGTCTTTTTGTGACTCACCCATAACTATTTCGACCGATCAATCAAAGAACTATGTTTTAGCGACTTCAAATGTCATTTACGTTGAATAAAATAAATTCATTTAATTTTTCAAGTTATACTAAAGGCCTGTCTGTGTCTGGAAATAAAATCATATTTATAAGAAACTCTCTCTCTAAAATCTACAACTGTCACTTTTTTAGTTTCGACATCTAACCGTCAAAAAAAGATTTTCAGTACCTACTTACGCACGTATAGAAGTTCACATTAAGTCCGATTTCTAATAACATTGAAAATGGTTTTTTTAACCTGTAAGGTGGTTCATATTAAAAATGGCGGATAATTGAAGTCGAAATCACTTTTCTGTGAGATATTGGGTAGTTTGTGGGGGATGCGAAAAATAACAGATTCAGATTTGAAGATAATGCAAAATTTTCTCTAATTTCAATATACAATATGAAGAAGTGTGAAGTGAAGTGTTTATTTATATAATTAATATACAAGCCACGACACTTTCAACTGTACGACTATCTGTCGTCACGACATAATGGTAACGCGCCCTTAGTAATTCAAGTCTTTTTTTACATAAACATTTACATATTTCACAAAAGAACCGACACGTAATGCCGTCTGCAATAAATTTTCTTCAATCGCCACATCAATAATTTACAAACACCACTGGTTTTGATATTGTTCTATCATAATAACAAATTTTATGTCGCGATTTTATTATCATTTTGTTGTTTTTACATCGCCGCTCTCGTAATACACGTAAGACGGAATTTAAAATTGTGACAAAAACAATTTTATTTTTATATTAGTTCAATTCGTGGTGGATGTGGCGAGATGACCTAGATGTGTTTGTAAATGACTGGCGAAGATCACAGAACAATAAATACAGTAGAAGTTTTTACTTTGCGTGACACGTGAGTCAACTACTGAAGACGAAAAAAATGGAAGTGCCTCAAGTTACACACACCTAACAGTGAATGTATTGCATAAATCGCTTTAAATGAATATAAGGTAAAATCATGGTAAAATTGAAGATATGCACTGATTACTGTACGGTGTAAAATATTGACTTACAAATAAATGGACGACGGGTCTAATACAAAAACCACGAAAAAAATGTCCCAAGTCAACCTCTTTAAACGTAGTGACATGTAAAGGAATATGAAAAAGCTAAAACGTTGAATTAAAATTGTAATGTCATCGCAGTACTGTCTAATTTTGCTTGCTTCGCTGTCAGTCGAACAAACGAAGACTAAAGCGTGAATGACGCTCTGTATACGATTTTAACGCCCTATAAGTTCGAACACTTTTTAGCGCGGACCCGGCGTCCATATAATTGTAAGTCAATGGTGTAAAAGCACGATTCCTGGAAATTTACACGACAGAAGAAAATCACAAACTTACCTCGAAATTTATAAGAAAACCGCCGTATTCAATAGGTACTTTACATCTTGCAATATTTTTTTTTATATCAACTAAATAGAACACGTATATCATACGATATACGTTTTTCAAATTGTTTTAATTTCGTTTGTAAAAACAAATAAACGCCAGTGCTCCAGCCGCTCGATCCAAGCAAAATGAACCGTATTAGTGCGGGTTAAAATTTGAATTCGTGCTGAGGTAGTATCAACTCTTAAACTTCGATTACCATCAGAACCGCAGTCGCCAAAACTCACGCATTCATAATTTCAAACATTGTAAAATCTTAAAGTCGCAGTTCAGTGCCATCAATACCTGTTATCGTAAGTTAGAACATCTTGACATCTCGATGTCGTCATCGTTCAGCTATTGATCGCTAGATGGCAGCACATAGATTCAAAATTTCAATACTGGGTAAAGTTTTAATTATATTAACAGTCCAGAATTTGTTAAATCTTTTTAAATAAGAAACTACGATCAATCACTATCGAGATTTCATAGTGTTTATCATTTGTTTTTGAGCGTTGCGGCGACCGCTGTCCTGATAGTAATCATGGCGGCACTTCCATTGTTTGTTTTTCTCTTCCGTGGCCCAAACACAAGGTAGCTACTATACATATATTATATAGTAACAGTAGAGCTCCTTGTGAAAGAGTCCATCCAAAGAAGTACCACCTTGCCTATTT